TGCCCCAGCAGCAGCTTGTCCTGGAAGAAGGGGCTTCCGGCCGCCAGCACGCAGGCGTGAGCGCGCAGAGACGCGTCGTGGATCCGCACCGTCACGTCGCAGAACAGCCCTTTCCTGCGCTGGGACCGCAGCGCCTCCAGCACCGACTGACTCGAGTTCTGCAGGTGGATGTAGTGCACGGCCTCCGGAGCCGACGCCATGGCAACACACGCCTCTCTGAAAATACACACACACACAGAGGTATACACAGATGAAACACACACAGACACACACACACACACACACAGATATACACTGATGAAACACACACACACACAAAGATATACACACAGAGAGGTATACACAGATGAAACACACACACACACACACACACACACACACACAGATATACCACAGATGAAACACACACACAGATGTGCAGTAGGGCTGCAGCGGCACAGGTGTGTCTGATTGGTCACTGCTCTGGAACTGACAGTAATGAACACTGCTGCTGAAGCTGAACTCCAAACACAAGACGCGAGTGTGTATCGGTCACACACACAGTGCTGCGCAAGACGCGAGTGTGTATCGGTCACACACATCTGTCCAACTTTGTAATGATGAGTCCTGTTCTTCGGCAGACGACAGCTCCTCCGTGCTCCATCATCACTGCAGGGTTTATTGAGCAGGACTCAGTCTGAGCTCAGCTTCACTGTAGTTTAACTCTCACTGTCTCGCAGTTTACTCGACATCATTACTGTCATTGATATAAATATAATACAACATATACTGATATACAGGGACAGACCTGTGTGTATATACTGAGACATATAACACACACACACACACACATATATGTATATATACACACACACACTCATTATAGATATACTGTAGTGCAGTAAACATGTACACGGATAAACAGAGACAGCAATACAGTAACGCGCGCGCGCGCGCGCACACATCTGCAGGATCAGTGTGACACCTACAGTAAGCGCAGAGCGGGTGTGTGCGTTACCTGTGTCAGGCTCACCTGAGGATGTGTTTAGAGCGCACACACACACCGCATCACCGCTTTAACACCGAAGCGCAGTTTATTAGCGGAGAATCGCGACGCGAAGCTGCTCTGCGCTCACGGGCCGCGACGTCCGCAGACGGGCTGTCAAAATAAGAGTCCCGGCGCCAGACGGAGACCTGTCAAAATAAGAGTCGCAACAGCAGCTGACGGTCCTTCAAAATAAAAGCCCGCTACTACTGACACTGCGTGTGCGCCCCTCCACACAATCCTGCTTGCGCCACTGATCCCTCTCAGAAACACAGATGCGTCTGCTCTTCTGCTTCACTGTGTCATTATAATAACAGCATGCTTGGCATTTTAATACAATATAAGCTGTAATAATGATCTTATCTGTGGTCAAAGCTCTTTTAGTTCCTGTTTGTGTTGATCCTCCAGGTTTCTCTGTAGTGCAGTGATGTTCACTATACTCTACACACTGTAAAGTGATGAGCTGCTTAAAGAGAGTAAACCAATGGCCTTAAAAGCAACAAGTTGACTTTATAAATGTAAGTAAACCCACTGTAAGTTGAAACTGTTAAGTTGAATTAATTATTAGAATTTGAACTCAATAATTTAGTCAACCAATCCCTTTTTCCAATGTATTTTAGCACGTCTGTTTCCAAATAATTACTGTAATTATAACAATATTACATATTTGAGCATCATTAAGTCTGTATGATGTACGCTTATAGTCTGTATTGAGTTTAGTAGACACACTGGAGCAGATTTACTACTGTTACTGTCATCCTGACGAGATACAGGAAAGCTGGGAAACACCCAAATATAATAAATGTGTATTTGAACAAAAGTGAACAGTTTACTTTAATTTTTAACAAAGTGAGTACAATTAGCATAATTATAAAGATTAAGTCAACTTAACAGTTCCAGCACACAAAGGGTTTACTTGCATTACTTTTGTAAAGTCAACTTGTTGCTTTTAATGCAATGGGTTTACACACTTTAGGAGCGAATCACTTTCTACAGTGTGTGATGCGCTCACTGTGGAGACCCGGACTGCAGAACACTGCACCGCCATACACTGAACACTGCATGCAGAACTGCATCATGGGTAATGTAGTCTGTCATCTCTCTCTCTCTCTCTCTCTCTCACACACACACACACACACACACACACACACACACACACACACACACACACACACACACACACACACACACACACACGTTCCACACAGAATAAAAGGTGTTTTTTGCACACAAACAGTTTATTTAGACTGAACACACACACTCTGCTGAACATCAGTATTTCTGATCAATAAACATTAATAAAGATTAATAACGGACAACGTTCACAGAATGCAGTAAAGCAGAACACACAACAGCAGCAGAATACTGAGGATATATACACACACACACACACACAGACACACACACACACACACACACACACACACACAAACTAAAGGAGCTAAAGTGTGGCTCAGTGATGTGGTCAATATCAACTGTAGTGTGTGTGTGTGTGTGTGTATGTGTGTGTGTGTGTGTGTGTACATGTTTTCATGACATGTCAGGACACACATCTGTATAATGACACAGGTGTGACACCAGGAGCTGGTGAATGATGGTCAGTGCTGACGTCCTCATTTCTCCAGAGTGTGTGAGGGAGTGCAGCGGTCCTC